TTTTCGCCATTGTCCGAGAAGACTAGGTGTAGGTCTTTCCTACCAGAAGATCAGGGATGTGGATGGAAGACAGCAATAAGGAGAAGCCAGGGAGTAGCAGTAGAAAAGCTGCAGCAAGAGTCAGGAGCCCAGAGGAGGGGGCAAAGGAGGTGAGGGGGTGGGGGCAGAAGAAAGTTGAGACGAAAACAGACGACAGAACATTACTAGATAGAAGGAAAGGGGGTGAAAGGAGACAATTTTAGAAAAGAAAATTTTTAAGTCACTACCCAGATTCCAAACCAGGACCTTTGAATGAGAGGCGTACATCTTAACCTCCAGGCTACAAGAGCCCCCTAACGATAACTTGTAAACGGGCTGATTCGGGCAATTGCACGATTGTGCCCTCTAATATCTATAAACGTACTGTTTACCGAATAACTATAACTTGTTTGATAAAGAGCACGTTATAGATGATAGAGGACACAGTCGTGCAATTGAACGAATCAGCCCATTTGCTCAGTGTGTGCTTGGTGCTTGGTAGCATTCAATGTACTTTCCAGCATTTCTTCAGCCTGGCATCATAGAAACGAAAATGCTTTTCATTTGAAACCAAACTACTTTTGGTTGAGAAAGTCAAACACATTATAATTACTTGCTTGGTGCTTGTAATTATCTACACAAAAACATCCTGCTTGCTACATGTATAAATGAACACTCGGATTCTATTAAATTGAAGGTCAGGCAAAACGACTTCGTTGAATCCGAGTTTCACTGAGGCTACGGGGCCTAAGGGTAAAGAACACATAACACAGGAACATCTATTTAGTTGCAGCTGTAACACTGGATATTTACTTGGCAATTTCATCTCAAGTTCTTTCATTCTTTTTTTAAGGTTATACATTGTACATGTACTTGGGAGTACTTGGAGGTATTTTTTCCTCCCTCTGCATGTTGCTCCTACTACCTCCAGGAATCAGACCTCATCTTCCTTCGTTAGAAATTTGAGCCAGGAGACACAGCCCTGCGTTTTCTCCCTGTATGTTATGCATGTACACTAGTGTAACAAACACCTCCAATGGTCCACTCACATGTACCAGTCGAACGCCCCCACCAACAGAGCCTTACTTCTCCTTGTACTTGTACATGTATGAGTTACACTTCTCTACCAACACTTTGTACATGTATGTACATATCAGAAGTAAAAGACCTAGGCTTCTGATCTGCAACAAAGGAAGATATAGAAGGTCATTTTTACCATCATCTATCTAAATGCTTCCATCTTAACCATCTGGTATAAGTATACTTACGACCTTACAGCATGCATCGTTTAACATTGAGTGTGCATATGTATCTTATTCTTAAGATTATTATTGTTTATATTGCTGTTCATTTATATCATGCTTGGGATTGTAAGCCTACGAGTGTGTGCATGTGTGTGTGTTGTGTACGTATTGAAACACCAAACCAATGTGCCAGAATCTGGACAATAAAGATGTATCTTATTTTATCTTATAAGTTGCATGCCCCCATCAACACCTTGTACAGTGGAAACCATATATAACAGGCCCGGTAATAACAGGGATTTTAAAATCCCCGATTTTTCCTACACTTTGTCTCTATTAAAAGTTATCGGCAAAAACAGGGTCTCATCGGAGCCCAACCGGTTATAGCTAGGGACAAAGGCTCGTTAACAATGTGTAAAAAGTAAAAGAGAGAGAGAGAGAGAGAGAGAGAGAGAGAGAGAGAGAGAGAGAGAGAGAGAGAGAGAGAGAGAGAGAGAGAGAGAGAGGGAGGGAGGGAGGGGGAGAGAGAGAGAGAGAGAGAGAGAGAGAGAGAGAGAGAGAGAGAGAGAGAGAGAGAGAGAGAGAGAGTAACGCAGTGATGGAGCAAGCCCATGCATGCCATCATTAGTAAGCCATGCCACTGCAAGCACACGAAGCGCGCGAAACGAGAGAGGGCTGCGGTGTGCTGCAGCCCTCGATCTAGCCCGAAACCTAGCAACACGCACGCGTAATGTGTTTACTGTTACCAACGATGTCAAGCGCAGGAGAAAATGCCTTTCAATTGACAAAAAACAAACAACGAAATAATTCAGGCTGTTGACAAAAAGCAGGCTTCACTGGCAGAGATTTGTCGTCAGTTCGACACTCCTCAAGGGTTGATTCACACCATTATCAAAGATAGAGAGAAGATAGTGGCAGCATACTCCAACGGAAAGTTTGCTCTGGATCGAAAGAAAATGAGACTACTCGATGCAGAAGCTGTGGACCAAGCTCTTCTGATGTGGTTTAAGGAGGCAAGGAGAAAGTTGGTGCCAAAACCCCTGGTCGTGGGTACATGTGGCAAAGGAAACTACCCATGAATAAGTACAGCTGGATCAGTCCACAAATGCTTACTTTCCTTACATTTCTGATTTAACAGGGAACGGATATAACAGGACATTTTCTCTACTCCCACCATCCCTGTTAAATCAGGTTTCCACTGTACATGTACGAGTTACATACCCTCACCTACAGAGCCTAACTTCTCCCTGTATATCATGTATGTGCATGTACACATATGAGTACGAGTTACGAGCCTCCACCAACAGAGCCCTCTGTCACACCAAGTCTAAGGGGAGGCAATGAATGACAACTTCACACCACATTCATTCATGTACAGAGGAACCTGATACAATCACTTCCTGTCCAAGAGAACCACCTGTACAAATGACCTCTTCCCACTTGCAAATTTCCAATTATAATGACACTACCCTTGAGGGCTATCTGTCTAAGTCTAAGCTGTCCCCAGAGAAAGTTGCATTTGAAAATAGCAAAAGTCGCAAAAGTTGCAAGACAAATTAGCAAAAGCTGCAAGAAAAGCAGCAAGACGTGTATGGCTAAAAAATGTCATGGAATTATTGGAATACATTGTTGGTATGCTCATTGCAATCAAAGTAAGCGACATGAGTTTTGTTACATCAAAATCAATTTTTTTGTAAAGTGTTTTACGGCGCTCACAACTGCATAAGGTCATATGAGCGTGTGGGACACACCTAATATTTTCAGTTAGTAGGAAATTTTGAATTTTGCCCTGGTGGCGGTCGAAGCCTACTCTTATCGATTTTAGACCACCAAGGGATCTTTAACGTGCGCAACTTGCACACGGGCCCTCTGAGATTTTTGCCTTTGTCCGAGAAGGCTAGGTGTAGATCTCTCCTACCAGAAGATCAGGGGTGTGGCAGAAAGACAGCAGTTAGAAGGAGCCAAGGAGTAGCAGTAGAAAGGCTGCAGAAAGAGTCAGGAGCCCAGAGGAGGGGCAAAGGAGGTGAGTGGGTGTGGGCAGAAAGTGGAAATGAAAGCAGACAACAGAACATAGCTAGATAGCAGGAAAGGATGTGAAAGGAGACAATTTTAGAGAAGAAATTTTTTCAGTCGCTACCCGGATTCGAACCCGGGACCTTTGAATGAGAGGCCAACACCCTAACCTCTAGGCCGCGAGAGCCCCCATCAAAAGTTTAAACTGTGAATGTACATTTTTTTTTTTTAAAAGAAAGAAAAATCCTGCAAGGAGGTTGCTTGAAGTACACAGTTTGTCCTCTGACACTCGTCAGGTTCTTAAACTCTCACTGACAATGGGCAGATGTGATCAGCGTGGTTTGGGGCTGTTCAAGTAATCTTACACCTTTTTTTTTACCCTAGCTTTCTTATATATCCTCCCCCCCCCCCCCAACCCGTAATATTACATTATTCGCTTATAACAATATGACATTTATATTGCGCAAATCCGAGTTACAATCATTGTTCGACGTGCTTTACTTTTACATATCATGAAAAACGTGCATACACACATGTGACATAATAATTATATATGGTACAAACGGAACTTTTCCGGAAAAACTTACGGTGTTATTTTACCACTTAAACCGCACCGGTGTAATGACAATTAGGCTACATGGCCCCAGGAATCTACTAGTACTAGTGTCTAAAGTGCGAGATAGCATTTTCGTGCTTGCCGCTCGAGGACCTACAGTATCGCTACAATGCCGTGCTTACTGCTCTAAATCACAAATGAATAGTATAGTTAACTCTCTTTTAATGGAATTTTTTTAAAATTATGTTGTCATGAATTATTTTCCTTGTTATTTTTTCACCTTACAAAAGAGTAACATTACATTGGTTCATGACATTCCCCCCCCCCCCCCCCCCCACACACACACACTTTTTGAACGTCCCTAGAGTTTTCCGGATGAAACCTTCCATGTCTTGATCTACCCTCCTGACATAAGACTTAGTCTTTTTTCACAAATTTTTATACTAGATCTAGCTACCAGGTGCTACGGAACCAAGCAAGCTAAGCAATCAGACGATCATGTCTATGATAGATTTACTCTAGATCTAGCTAGAAGATGATTCAGTCCAAACAGGACTATCGGAGGGGGTTGGTTTGCTTGCCAGATCGATGGCGCAAAGCGGTTATCGTGGCACAAGTTGATCGTGTCCGACTCGTTGCCTCAAAAACAAACACGTTGTTTTCAGACGACGAGTTGGGCAATCATCCCGATCCGACCTGACCCGACCCGATCCCATCTGCAATGATTGGGCACTAGGCACTCTGTGCAAAGGAAGTGGCAGATCTATTTCAGGCACGAATTGTCCCCCTTGGCGTTGTTATTTTTAGTCGTGGAAGAAAGTTTGTTATTTTTAACGAAATATTATTTTTCCAACTTTAGCGGAAAATTGGCTAAAATTCGCGAATTCACGAAAATGGCAAAAGTTACGCACGCAAGTTGCGGGTGCGAATTTCTCTGAGGACAGTTTAAGAGGATTATTTTTCCACAACAAAGGATGATTGTGTGGAGCAGGTTTGAATATTTTATATATATATATATATATATATATATATATATATATATATATATATATATATATATATATATATATATATACAGAATATATAGAATATTTAGATAACCAAGGATTGTCACAAACACATTATAATCAACCCAAATATGAAGTGAAATAAGAGCAAGAGCAGGCACATATTGAGTGACTGAATTTATTTATTTACATTTTAGAATTCATACATGGACATCAGAGACATCCTCCTTGTACTTGTACTTACGAGTCTAGTAAATGATGAGCAAAACAATGTAACACTGGAGAATTTGACGACAGCCACAGGACAATTAGCTCTCCCTGTATTCACGTTTTTAAGTCAGTAAGAGAAATTCTACTTCCAATGCACACAAAGGATTGGTTAATCACACGACAAACTACTGTTGTATCAAATGCTGGAGTCATCCACCTCATCAGCTCAGATTTCAAGGTGGCGCCACCGTGCAGAATCAAGATTTGAACGACAAATGGTCACAAACTCACTGAAACACCAGGAGCAGTTATTAAAACAAAGAGGCGTTTTTTCCAAAGATCAAAATTTACATCAGACAAAAGGTCAAATTGATGATAGAATGTTGACTTCTGTTTTCTCATAAATTGTGCAAACAGACTTGGTTCTTCAATCTGTTTTTTCATTTCCCTATTCTGTAGATTGTACACAAGTACAAGCAAGCTCTGTTCTTTATCTTCCAACACTCCTACGTCTGCTGAGCTGTTGAGAGGCAAGATCCATAAAGTGTTGGGGGGGGGGGAGGGGGGGGGGAGAGAGAGAGAGAGAGAGAGAGAGAGAGAGAGAGAGAGAGAGAGAGAGAGCAATTCTATACAATCTGAATCTGAGCTTGTCACTTTCAACAGGCAGCTATGACTTTCGTCCGCCCTAGTCACGAAACCCCCAAAAGTTCAGCGAGAACAGAGGGATTGCCCAGCAGCAATCTTTTCCCACAGGAGAAAGGACTACATGACGTATGTACAAAGACAAAAAAAGAGTATGGTACAACAGTGACTTCGCAATTCTGATGAATATCAGGTCTCCCTAACAAGACAATTTTCAGGAGTATCAATACAAGCAACCTTCACCTCAGCTGGTCTCCCCAACAGATACTTTCCAAGAGTATCAAAATAGATAACCTTCACCTCAGCTTGTGGACACAAAAGACTTCAGTCTTTGACTCTCCCACATGAACACTCTAAGTTTCCGGTACCTGCCTGCTCCAAATATACTGCTACTTGTTTTTGTCGAGTTGCAGTTTGTGGTGATAACAGAAATATCTGCCACATTTCGCCGAAAATAGATAAAACACAACACCAAAATCAAGCTGAAGCAGACCACACAAAAGTGCCCACCAATCACCAACACCATAGCTACATTCTATAGCCAATCGGTTCCTTATTCCCACCATGATAGATCTTTTATTCAAAACTACATTTTTTCTTCCCATATATTGTGACCCTCCGTACTTAAGTGTTATCAACCTTTTTCTTTTGCCGCTCCCCCCTCCCCCCTAACCCAAAATCGCCATCTTTCGCCCCTCAAAATTATTAAAGAAACTGAATCAGAGCTAATATTTGTAAATGTCTATAAAGGCATGCTATGCCACCCGGCTCACATTAAAAAAAGGAAAGCAGTAGTTGTTTGTTTTGGGTTTTTTTTAAAGTTAAGACAAACGATGCAACATGCAATATGTAGTACAAGGTGTAAAAAAAAAAATGAATACCAGAGAAATTAAATCATTAATCAAGTATTAATATTATACAAACAGCTTAGGAAGGGCAAAATGATATATCCAATACACAGAGCTTACAAATCTTACTCAACATTTTTTCCCCATTGACTGAACTATATGATAAAAGGAAATGGGATAACAAATCTGTTATCAAATAAATTAGATAAAATCATTCTCACCTGACTGCCAACAACATACTAACAGTTTAACAACAATTAAAGGGGCAACGGCAACACCTCAACGATCTGCTTTGCGGTATGGAAAACATTTGTGTCAAAATGCAGCGGAATCGGGCGTTCATCAATTTTTGGGTATGTGGAGATATTGGTGTCATCTTAAAGTTAAAGTTAGCTTATTCACTTGTCTATCTTTCTATGTAAAATATTAGTTGAGATATTTACAACTAAGGGAGGTGAGGTCGCATGATTTCAGAGGTAAAATTAGCGAGAAAATGGCTGCCAAAGTTTGGCAACTTCCAAAGCTTGAGAGTCCTTGGAAAATGAACATTGAGATTGACTGTGCCTTTAATCGCTTTTCAGTAAAATCCACACAGAATTGTGTTTTTGAATAGACGTAAAAGGTATTGAGCCAAAGAACAAAAATGTGAAAATATTGCCAAACGGAGAAAAATGCTGTTTTCTTCGATTTCATAAAATTGACGAGTGCCTGATTTCACCACGATACCTCACATTTCATTTTTTAACTCTGCCACCTACTTCTCTTCGTCCAGCATAGATGTGCCAACGACATTAGAATTCAAAGTTAGACTATGTCACCGGCCCTACTAGCACATCCTTCACAATTAACACAAAAACAACACATTACATCTATCAAAACAAACCTTTAACTCCTAAGCTTTCAATGTTTGACAGTATATTGTCAATTTCTTCAAACAACTTTAGTTGGCCCTTCCCCTGTTTCCCCTGTAACAAACTTATCTTGTCAGTTATGCTAAATAAACCCCACATAACATTATAAGAATGACAACTGACAACAACCATACAAACTCTGTCATGCACACAATCAGTATAGATGTATGAAAAGTTTTTTTTTGGGATGGACAGCATCAGGAAGAGGTCACTTAGAGCTTTATTTTTCCTTTTTAAGATAGAAAAAGAGAGAACTGTTTCAGTCACAACCAAAACAAGCACTCTCCCACATCACAGCTTGACAAGTCACCAACACACGACTTTTATACAAAACAATAGAAATTACGCAAATATTAAAGGACAACATTGCAAATTGCAAAAAAAAAACATGATAACAAACCGTACAATTAAGTCAATTTCAAGGGTGGTGATTGCTTCTCATACCCTCCCCCTTCCTCCCCCCCCCCTCCCCGTCTCTAACACACACACTTTCTCATTTACCTCTATCACTCCTCAAAGACTCTGTATCACATCAGCACTATAGTCTCCATCATGATCATGATGCCTTTATCAAAAGATAAAACAACATACAAAACACAACAAAGGTAGGGGTACCAAATTAATGATCAGCCAAAACACCCATCATCATCATTATCATTGTTATCGTCATCATAGTCATCCCCTCGCTCCAAACCCGTTGACCATTCTATGACCAAAAATGGAAGTTTTCCTCATTTAGATTACACCACGAACCCCTCATGGCAAAACAGGGATGGCAAAAACACACAAATAAAAATGTGTACTTTCTTGTCATTTACAAAATGCCAAAGACCGATGGAAACGGAATTCAAGAAATAATTGGGATTTTTCTGCAGACATCCTATTGGGGTTCTTCCATTGACAAAAATGACATCAGAGGGATGTAATGGCAGGCCCGTTGCTCCTACCCATCTGTGACCGTATGTCGGTGCTGTGGTGATATCGAGTCTCTGAAGCACAGGAGTGCCAATTTGTCTCTCCCTTCTCCCCGTCTCTGAGCAGCCCAGGACTCGTGTGCGACACCTCTGAGCTCAACCCTCCACACCAAAGTCATCCGTGAACTGTTGCAGCTTCTTCAGGTCGTCATCATTCACCGTTGGCTTCGAATTGCTGATGGCCATCAGCATGTCAGACTGTAAAACACAATATATACAATGCATCATACTTTAAATGTCAGACTGTAAAACACAACAAATAGCCTACAATGTATCATATCTTAAATGTCAGACAGTAAAACACAATACATACAATGTATCATATCTTAAATGTCAGACAGTAAAACACAATACATACAATGTATCATATCTTAAATGTCAGACAGTAAAACACAATACATACAATGTATCATATCTTAAATGTCAGACAGTAAAACACAATACATACAATGTATCATATCTTAAATGTCAGACAGTAAAACACAATACATACAATGTATCATACTTGATTAAATGTCAGACTGTAAATAGGTACCACAAACCCCCGCCTCTGCGCAGTTGAAAGTGTGTAGGAGTAGGAAGCTCGAAATTTGGTCATTTTTAATCAACCAAAACTCTTCTAATTTGACACCAATCTTCACCCCGTTTCGAACTAAGTCAGTTCAACTATTGTTTTTAGCTAAAATCAAACTATTGAAGATGGCACGGAACGAGATATTGTATAGTAAGCTATCTAAAAAGGTCACCGAAATGCACGGGAATGGGTTTTTCGCGTCATTTTTCATGCCGGCCGCGGCGACAAAAATTTAGGGTGCCTCATAAAAAGCCTTCGCGCTACGCGCCTATAACTGCTATCGTCATGAAACAAAAAGTGCAAGAACGACCTTTGAATAAGCTTTCACCCGGTACCAAGCGCTTGTTGCTAAAGTTAGTTGTTGACCCAGAAATATCCGGAGTTTTGGAACCTATTTTTAGAATGGAAATCTCCAAGTCTGACCAATGATTGGTCGAAAGAACCCTGGTCTACTCAAAATTAGAACATGTCAAGGGAATCGTGTGCAAAAATGACTACGATTGGTCTGGCAGCCGTTTAGCGCCGCTTGTTTTTGTAAACACACATGCTGGTCCCATCTCTGGCGACACGCTTGATTCAGAAATGGCGAAGAATCATTTACGTGCACTACCTATTTTCGATCACGCTCTGTTCACGTACATAAGTGCATATCAAGGGCTGCATTGTGCTTCTAATCATGGATAGGGATATTCAGGAGATGTGCGGTAAGTTGATTTTGTTAATTAGATTGTTATAGTGTTACATAGTTCTTCATAAAGTCATCAACCTTTGCCTGACCTAGATCTAGCTAGGGCTTGAAGCCGAGATCGCAAACATGGGAACGGGTGGTCTCATTCAGAGCGTCCTGTAATTAAGTCAGTACCCAGTATTGTTGTAAATCTGGTGTGGATAGAAAGATAAGAAGCTTAAATTTCTTGAAAATATGGTGAAATCTAAATCAATTTGTTTTTAGTCATTAAAATTGGTGTTATTTTCTGGTTACGTGACCATTTCACTCTATTGATGATTCCGTAATGGTGACCTCTTTTTAAAGATCATAACAAGCTTGATGAACTTGTCTGTGAAGGGGGTGCAGCTGGCATTTGTTCATTGATGAATGAATATATATTCTCTTAAATATCGCGAATATCTGACAAAGTCTTTGATAACTAAATCATTTAATTGTTTTCTTTTAGCCAATATATCTATTAAGATTCATGAAACAAGTACCGGCACCAATTGAATTATTTTGTTATACAACTTTTAGAGGCTGGTTT